CCAGACTTTCACTCGAGCTCTCTGGCCGTTCCTCAAAACAACAAAAGCAAGGCTGGTAACTTTTCAGATGATTCCAGCATCTTATCCGAGGACACTGAGAAGCTTCAACAAGAGTGCATCGAATCGGTCATGCCCAAACCTAAGACTGAATTTCGCAGTATGTTTTTCGGGTTAAAAGTTAATGCTTTAGCGATCGATTAATTGTGCTCTTTTTCAGGTTATCATTCGAGTTTGAACAGTGTTCTCACCTGCCAAGACAACAGAACAAAGTCCGGAGAGATTTCAGAGGATTCAGGCAGTGAGAAGCTGTTGGAGGAATGCATTGAATCGACCATGCCCAAGCCAATACTTAAAGGTATATTAATGCACTTTCTTATGCTTAAAAGGGCTTAAGCCACATTTTGCCTAAGTTAATCGCGACGCGAATGTTAAGATAATGCAAACTAGAGTTGAACCACTACCTGTGATTTTTTCACATCGCTTAATAAATAGCAATTACAAACTGTGATCTAAAACGTGATATTAAAGAGCGACTTATATTTTCACTGCTAACGCTACTATTGCGAGTTGCGTGTAGTGATCAAATGTTGCACATGTGGAAAATTATTTTTTTTGGCATTTATTTTCTGGATTAGATGATAATTTTGCAAAATGCAATTTATGCAAAGCAAAATTATCTTACAAAACAAGTACATCGAATTTGAAACGGCACATGGAATGCAACATCTCACAATATCAATACATTCTGAAAATTTTGGCGAAGAGTAGCGAAGTAGTATTTTAGTACCTATTTTCACTCAAATAAAGTTTTTTTTCAGATCAAAAATTCAAATCGAATATAGCTTGTTCACACAGAATTAAGAGCTACATCCGCTATTCGTTCTGTGTAAAACAATACTTTTTTGTTTCTATTTTAATTTTTTTCAAGAATGTTTTTAGAACTTTTAGAGTACATGGGTTTACAAAATGTGTAGCCAGTTGCTAGTTGCAGAGGCTGTTATTTTTAGTGTCCTTAAAATCATTTGTATTTTAAGCATAAAATTTTATTTATTGTGTATCTAAATAAGGTTATTTATTTAAAAAATATGAATTACAAATGTTTTAAAATTGTTTCTGCAAGTGACGCACAATTGCCCATCACCTTATGGCGCTGCGATATCACGAAAACGGCAACCACAAGTAAAATCACATTCACAGTTATAACAGTGATTTGAAAATCACGTTTTAGCTCATCTCTAATGTAAGCCAGCCTTATTCTCCTTTTCCAACGGTATAAGAATGCATTGCATGAAAATTAAGTGCCTAAATGACCTAATCCTAATATATCATCAATATGAAGATATTTACGATCATGGGTGCAAAGTTATCAAAACTGCGACGAAAAAACCCTTTTGATATGTTTACCATGACAAGCAATGATTTGTTTATCTGTGTAAATACAAGTTAGAGACTAAACCCTCAAATGTCCTTGTTGCAGGCTTCCATTCAAGTTTGAGCATCGGCGATAAAAAAAGCAAATCGGATATTTCATCAGACGATTCAGATACTGAAAGGCTTCTGCAGGAATGCATCAAAGTAGGGGAGTCGCAATGTAGGTTTCAATTTATCTTCTGTTGTTTAAAAAGGCATTTTGTAACGCAGAATATTTAGTTTCTGGATTTCGCCCCCCTTTGAGTAATGCGTCGATTTCCAAAGACCACCGAAACAAACGTGGTGACCTGTCTGACGATACCGGAAGCAGCTTGATTACAGAGCAGGAATTGATTCTAGAATCATGCGTTGAAGGCAGCCTGTCTGCGCCTCCAACTCAGCAAAAACGAGGTGTGTTTTCGAAAGTTTTGTAAATTTTGCATTTTATTATGACAATTTATGTGAAGTAGTGGGTTTTAAGACGCCTCTTTATTGCGCATTTTAGTCCAGTTCACTAATTTTGCTTGCTAAAGATTTGCTCTACAAGATTGTCGGTTTGTTTCAGTCAATGATGTGCCTTCAGCGACATGTTTTGCGACTGAAACGTGCCCGAAAATGAAGCAAGATATCGTTTTGCCCCAAAATCCCGATGGAAATCTGCTCAAGCAAATGCCTCGGCAACCACAAGGTAAGCTAGCAGATGGAACTCCTACTTTAGTGTATAAAATCGTCCGATCTGGGGCATTTTACTTAAGATACAATTGTTCAAATTGGATATTTCTAGACATGTTAAAACCATGAGTGTTTGTTGTTTTTTAAGCGTATTCGAAATTAAGTACCCTGCCGATTCCTGTTGGTAACAAAGCCAAAGCTGCTGGTGATATTTCAGACGATTCTGGTAGCAGTTTGACGACAGAGCTGGAACTACTTTTGGAAGATTGCATTGAGATAGGGGCACGTGAAAGAATAATATATCCATTAAATGGTAAGTTTTGCACGAAATAAACTATCGCATTTGAGGAGATAACGCAAATCACCAGGGAATATACAGCAAACAGTCTAAAGACTTTAGCGGCATTTCGTAATATTTTAGAGCATAATTTGAACGTGAGAAGTCAACCAATTTCGATCGAATGTAAAAGCAGAGGCGGTTATTTCCCAGAAGACATTTCCAGTAGTTTGGCTCTGGAACGGGCACTGGTACCTCAAAGCAAACAGCCACTTAAAGGTAAATTTTGTCGTAGTCAACCACTTGGTTGCAATTTATCCGGCCGATATTCAGCTACATTTCACACGATTTTAGAGCATAAAGTGAATGTGCAGAACCAACAGATTGATACTGCTCGTAAAAGCAGGGGCCTTTATTTCTCAGGCGATTCTGCCAGGAATTTGACTTTAGAAGAACAGCGGCTTTTACATGGAACCGTCGAAACCGCGATGCCTCAAGGGAGGGAACCCTTGAAAGGTAATGTTGTTTCGGAGCCTTTACTCGTTCATTTCAAGATCACCAGTTCACATTTTAGAGCATAAGCCGGACATGCAAAGCCAGCCAACTCGCAGTGATCGTAGAAGCAAAGGCGGTTATTTCTCAGACGACTCTTGCAGTAGCTCGTCTTTAAACCAAAAAAAAGTTTTATACGAATGCATTCAAGGGAGCACGTCCCGTCCCAAGCCGCAAGGTTAATTTCTAATCTCTTACCCATATTTTTCAGAAAACTTTCACGAATATGGTAGTTTCAGGCTCTAATTCACGCGCAAAATCCGTCCACCGTTCCATTCCGCAGAAAAATAAATTCGAATATCTTTCCAACGATTCGATAAGCAGTTTTAATACAGAAGATTACCTGTTGGATGGATATATTGCTACAGGCATGCCGCAACCAAAATCACGAATTCAAGGTGGCTAATTTCTTATTGGTTTTCGGTTAGTTTTTTAAAAAATCGCTTTCAGCCCCTTCGGATCAACTCAGAGTAAATTCCAGTGGAGTTTTGCCAAGGCGGCCGTCGCAGCCAATTAAACAGAGCAATCAATTAAGGGGCGACCAGAAGTTGGCACGCAAATCCGGTGAATCCTTAAAACCGCCCCAAAGTTATTCCCATAATCGGCAAGGTCTGGAACATCAAAAGATCGATAATAGAGCGAGGCGATTTGTTGGACGGGAAGCTAAGGTGATGAGAGAACGCAGGGAAATGTCGTTGCCCGCGTATTTCTCCACAATGAAGGACGAACTCGCTAAGTATCAAGAGGAGGACAGTCCGGCTCAATTCTCCTTGCGCTCCAGTTTAAGCGATTTAACTGTGGATGGAAGTGTCGCTGGCGTTACACCGTAAGTTTCGAATAGTCTATTTGAATCACCTGGTAGCTAACGGTTTTACCGCATCCTGGCAATTAATGCGCGAATGAATTATTATCTTAATCAACTTTTTATCTAATCCCATTCGTCCCAATCATGTGCCAACGATATTCACATATTATTCAACTTCAAAATGTTCGTCGTCTGTTTGCCTTTTTTAGTCCATTTCATTAAAACCCTGATGTTTCATTGCAGAGCCGTTAGGCAGCATAATGTGGGCATGAGGAAGGAATACGATACCGCAGGCCCGAGCAGGGCACCGTTAGGTTCAGGTAAGTACAACAAATACAAACTCTTTTATTGTTTGTACTTTATTTAGATAATGACTTGTTTATAGATAACAGGGCGCCCATTCGCGACAAACAAAGTAGGCATTCGTTCTCTTCAGTTAGCTCCACCGAAGAAGAACGCGCATTATTACAAGAATGTATGAACATTGGAATGTACAGTGCATTGCGGGACGATCAAGCATTTAACCGGCCACGGATACCAAGAGATGTTTTAGGTAAAAAAAAACATTTTAAACTAAGAGAAATCGCCAAACAAATTCTACAAACGCATTAAAAAATTTACTTTTAACACCAATGAACGTTTTAACGCACGCCGTGTTAAAATCAAGCTACTTTTAACTAGAGTAATTGATCACTACGTGATTTTAAAGAGCTTTTTATATTTTCACTGCAATCAAATGAAGATTTTTTTGCGTCCGAAAATTCAAATTAAAGGGACTTTTCTTGGCTTTAGCAAACAAATAATAATATTCTTGCATTCGCTGATGGATTGCATGCACTCACAGCTTCTGATGAACGTGGATATATTGATATTCTTAGGATCCTGCAGTTTGCACCCATCATTAGCCCGGTTCGGATTGTGTTTCGGTAACGTGTGTATTTTTTTAATTTCCCGGACACGCTTGTTATTTTTGTTTTATTCATTTATTGGAACTGAAATTATTTATTTTGTCTTCTGCTAAGCGACGGAAAATTACTTTTTTTCTTTTCTGCTTCATTGTGATTTTTTCAAGGAGTAGAAATATCCTCATTTGCTGTTAATATGTAACATTGCCTTTTTCATGGAGAAATTAGAGCAGAAAGACGGGAATATCCAGACCCAGAGACGCGTTTTCTTAACAAGTGCAAAAACTTTTTATATCTTGTCTCGGGCTTTCTTGGGCAGGGCATGTGATCGTTCTTGGAGCATAATTTGTTCAATTGCACTTTTTCAGTAAAATCACAAATTTTTAATTTGATAATAGTTTGCAAGCAAAGAGGGCAACAATGGTCGTAACGAAATTATTGGTAAATCGAACAGATCTGACTTCATATGGCAATGGGCAAAATATATTCCAGATAGAAACACTCATTTAAATTTTTAATGCGTTTGTAGAAAAAAATATATTTGTATAGTATTTGTGTTAACAGGGCTTTAAGGCACGCTCATGCGTGCTTAAAATTGCACTAATAAAAACTGTTGGATAACAAAGCAGCTTAACCGATTGCTCAATTTCAGGCATAGCAGCTAGATCAGTTTCCAACGTTGAAAGGCGCCATGAAAGGAGCGAATTGCCGAGAGGAACGGACCCGATTAGTAGGTAATTGATTTGGCACAATAAATCTATAAGGCTGGAAAACTAAGGGTGTTTTGTGTGATTCTCAGGTCAAAAAACGCGAATGCTGCGTCTGTTGCCGAGAGCACAGCGGTAACGCCGCTGCTAGCAAACGAGCAACGTCCCAAAATGTCAATCCAGGTAGCAGACGTAGAAAAAAGTAAGTCAACGTTCCCGGTAGCACCTTCAGTCTTCAAAAACCATACTTTTAAAGTAAAAATACTTCGCTTTCAAAAGACAAAATTTCCTCACGTCTACTGTTACAGATTGATAAAAAGTGCGTGTTTATTTCACAAAAAAAAGGATTTTTTTAATCAAAAGGTAGGTAGCTGTAGGCTCAAGCTGTACGAGAAAAATTGCAATTAACAAAAAAATTAATTAGGCAAGTTAACGTTGACGTTTCGATAGGAATTCTACTATCGTTTTCAAACTATACCTAAAAAGAGTATATTAATAAATTGTCTAATAAGGTTGAATTAATACAAATGTGTAAGAAACCGCTCATAACAATTGAAAATTTACTAATTGTCAATTTTTTTACTTTGACTGGACTGTACTCAAATTTAGTTGTTTAAAAAAAATTATTTCGTCAAAATTATTAATGAATTTTATTTCCCTGTTTTTGAGATTTGTCTAAATAAAAAAATTGACAATTTGCTCAAAAATGAAAAACATACTATTTTTAGGTAACTTTTCTAAACTGTTGGTTTACTAATTATAATTTTTCTTTTACAGCGTGAACTTAAGTATGCCGTTTTAATTACCTTTTGATAAATGTTTCGTTCTTTATTCTTATATACTTACTTACTCTCTATATGTATACTAATAAGAGCATTATTTTTCAATCTGTAATAATCTCTCCAACGAAATCATCTAAGCCAGCTTTGGAAGTGTATAAATTCTGATTGCTTAGAGCGATTTAGTTTCTGTTTTCGAATCTGTGCGAATGCGTTCTGAGTTAAAAAAATTCAATAACAGGGTTGCACAAAAATAGCCAGGTGAAAATCGCCCCCGAAATATGTTATTATTGTGGATTTTCAACTAAGTGAAGTTTATTTTCAAATATTTCGTTTATTTGTGCAACCCGCTATATTGAATTATTATTTTCGTAGGTCCACTAAAGTTCGGGCTTCAACATAAGCTTGATATTTTGGAAGCGGGTTCAAGAGAATATAACTATCACTGCAAGACTAAAAAATCCAAAGCCAAAGATTTTTAAGTCCAACGAAAAATCGTTTTTACCCAACTGAGAACACGCGCAACTTGCACCAAGTTTGCAGTGTTTTATTCGCCACCCTGTAGAAACTTTGCCTCACGCACTGATTTTTTTTGCAAATCCAGCCACTAACCGAGAACGAATTGCTTTAAATAACGCTCCGAACAGAAATCAATTCGCTCTCAACAGACAGAATTTATCCAGTTCCAAGCTAGTCAGTGTAACGCTGATTTTGTTGAGAAACTTAGAAGTAGTGAGGAATTTCTGTATTTTTAATAGACAAAAATGTTCAGGCGAATTGCCCAACAGCAAGGTTCTGAAAGCATGAATCCGCCCCAACCACATAGAACTTATCTACTTTAAAACAGTCCGTTCTGATAACGGGTTTGGAACTGGAATCCTCTAATTTCCTTAAAATGTCCCAGGTTTCTCCGTCTCTTTTAATCAAAAATAGCCACAACAATAATTTTCCTTTCCTTCCTTGGAAACATCCATTGAAACTAACAGGCCAGGTTCATTTTATGTAGGTGTCGCACAAGATCGGAGCGCCACAGAGAAATGCGGCAGCTCCGATCGCCAAACGACGGATCATTCGGTCAAACAGTTAGAGGACGTGAAACCAGAGATCCAACCAGCATCAGATACCTTACCAGCCAGCATCTCAGCTACAGAAGAGACACCTTCGACCGGTAAAAACGAGCATTTTTAACCAAGTTTGACTCACTCACTAAGCTTTGTTCCAACGAGTAGATCAAACGAAGAGTGGATCTAGCAAATCAGGCAGTCAGTTTTTGGAGGCCAGCTTCGAAAACGACTTTACCTTTTCGAGTTCCGACAATTGCGCCAATCTGAACAACGTTTTCAACAGGAGCTGCGAGGAATCGGGGACGTTGGTTGATAATCGTATGCTGGATCCTGATGCGATGATCGAGTCCCTTGATAGGTAATATTTGCTTTTATTCGGACGAGCAGCGAAGTAGATTGGAAATATTTGTTTGGAAACTTTAATTTAATATTTAGTGATTCTCCTAGGTTTACTGCGAAACTTGTGAGCCAAGCCAGTCAACTGAACAAGGAAAAGGGCAATGAAGTTGAGCGACAGCAGGAAAATTCAACAGTGTCCATCAACGACGACAGCACATGGAACGAGGACTCTTCGCAAACTGAACTTACCTTTCCCACCATATCGGGCAGCGCCCCCAATGTCATCACTTTCGATAGCGATTCCGGCAATGTGGATGTGGTGGATGGCGCTGACCGAGCCGATGAAGGAATCAGCAACGATTTCTCGTCGGTGAACACCAACACTATGACTGAGAGCACGCTTATTGCCATTGAAGCCAACAAAATGGTGACGGTAAGTTGGGTTTTCAACAACCGTGTGCCTTGTGGGATTACTTATCGTATATTATTCACAAATGAGCAATCAATTCCAGGTGTTCAAAGAGGAGGCAGAATTGTCGCAAAGCATTGCCAGCGCTAAATCCTTGGACTTGGACTTGGACTCGATAATGCCACCTTCGCAGCTCAACTCACTAACCGGCAGCGTTACTGGGTTTGAGAAAGGCCAACCAAAGAGTCCGAAGGCGGTGTTTAGGAAGAAATCGCTCCCCAGCAGTCTGTTGGTCAAACGGGCGTTGAGCAACTCGTTGAATCAGGGCTCCAGGTATTGACTTGAAAACCCCTAAAGAACTGAAAAGATTATTTCCATGCCTTTTTTAGTCTGGAAAGCCTCTACAACAACAGCCTGGGGAATATTGAGGGAACGAATCCGCCCTCCGAGATGCAAAACCTGGGCGATATGGAAAGCAGCATCATAAGCGTGGCGAGTTTGCCTTTAGAAGGCGCGGACATCAACAATCCAATGGAAAAAGCCGCCAGCTGCAATCCACACCCCATATTCAACGTCAAGCAGCAGTTCGCCCAATCAACTGCGGACCTGGAAATGATCAATCCGCCTTCAATATTCAACGATATCACCGATATGTGCAATTCTCTAGCGGATGTCGCGACGGAGATTATCGGAACGGAAACCAGCACGTTCGAGGACTGTTTAACTCACGTGCCAGACGACAGCACTTTGCCGGTAAGTGTGCAGATCAAACAGCATTAATCAGCAGGAAGAAACATTTGAAAATATTCAAGTTGGACCCGACGGAGTTCAGTGATGCCAACAGTCTGACTCCCATTCATTCAGACTTCAGTAGCGCTGAAACCACCCCGAAAAGGACCAGCAAGTCGTTGAGTAAAAGCATGATGACCAAACAAAGACGAAACCTGGCAAGGGATCGGTAAGAACCATTCATTAAATAAGTATATTAGGATGAAATTTCTTGAGCGATCCAGGGGCGCACTAACCGAGGGGCTGTAGCCCCGGGGCTCATGAACTCTGAATATTTTTAAAAAATCACATTTTTCTGCCCTTAAGGCCCGGGCCTCGCAAAGCTTAAATAAAGGCCTCTCTGCGGTCCGGCACGCCAGAGAGGCGTAGACAGGGTGTCTCACGGTCAGCGGCTATTAGAATATTTCGGGAAATATTGTCATAATGGCATAATGGGGTTTTCGGAGACGTTCTTCTCAAATGAAATAACAGCAACATTTTGCGACTTCCGGTTATACCAGAAGTTGTCTCAAATCTACTTGTTTTAAATAAAACACCCAAATGCCTGTGTGCTTTAGTGTGGGAGATGGGAATTTTTAAGTAAGTGGGCGCAATTCACTGACACCATCAATTTTGTGAGTCACATTTACAAAGCTGACAAAAATCAGGTTCAGGGTGGATTTTTCTGAAACTTTCCACGTGTATCGGATCAAGTGTCCACTAGAGATGGTGACAGACTCAACTTCCTGCATGATTGAATTTGGAAGATGCGAATTTTGAAGTAAGCGGGCGCAAATATTTTTTTCTCCAAGAATTCAGATTCACGACTTTCGTACAATTTTCAATAAAATTTTTTGATGTTCTTCTCCAAAAATGCATTATTAGCGCTCAAATGCATCTAAAGTTTACCTAAAGGAATTAATTAAATCTAAATAGTTTTCGACATTTAAATGCATCTGGCGTTTACATAGTATAAAATTCAACATATTTTTGACTTAAAAAGTCTTGACTTTGACTTTCCAGTTTTCTAACCGAGTTTAGTTTCTCAGTCATTTTTAGGGAACATCAACGCAGTTTTTTTGTTTAAAGAAAATGCCATTTTCGTGTCTGAAAATGCTTGTTTGGCACTTAAATCACTCTCAAGTTTGCCTTACGTGTAAAATAGGAAAACATTTTGCTCGACGTTACGTTTCTTAACCGATTTGAATTGCCTCAAAAGCGGGTTTTACAGAAGATTGTGCTCTTTACAACCCAGTTTTAATAATCCAAATGGGACCAAGATTAAGAGAGTTATTAAAAGAAAAACATCCACCAAAAAACATAATTGTCGATGATTGGTTTAAGTGGACTGTATTTTTGTATTATTTTCTTCTTCGTGCGCGTCCCTATCTGAGATGGCACTCCCAACACCGACTTAAGTATATGAATGCACCCAACCGACAAATTAAAACCCGATTGTCGGCAAAATTAAAATGTATATTGCTCAGAACGTTATTTCTACCCACGTCTTATTTGCTTTCTCAATTTCCTTAGTTACTAGAAACAAATACAACTTAAAATAAAAAACTAATTGTCACATCGCCCCCTATACTAACTTATGTGGTTGGCAGGAGAGACAAATATATCTTATTTACTCATTTCCCAACAATAATGTTTTCGAATATTCGGGGCGTTGATCTCAAATGCCCTGGAATTTTGTTCACAATGCCAACATTAATATTATGTTGCTTTTGCTGAATTTAAACTTTCCACTTGATGACAGTAATAAGAGAAATACGCGTAACATTTTCGGATAATTCATTATCGAGCACAATAATATTTAACTTTGCAACTGAGATTTTTAGTTTCACTCTTTCATCTTTGAAAATATATTCAATTTTAGGCGACACCCTGTTAATGATAAAATGTTGAGAAAAACTACATTTTGCTCAGAAACGGATAGAGTGGGGTAGAAAAACTTTTAATCATAGTTATTGGAAATGAAGAAACTAACACAAGCAAAAACATTATACAGGGTGTTCCATTTAAAATTAGGAAGTTTGAAACAACTGCCGGTATAACCAGACGTCGCATAAAGTCGCTGTTATTACACCTGAAAAGAGCCATTACACAAATTTGCAGGACTCAAATCGCATTACTTCCCGAAATATTCTAATGGACGCTGACTTTGAGACACCCTGTATGTGTAGATGAAACGATTGAAAAAAATTATTTTGTTCCAGATACAAAACCTATGTGGTGGCTGCCGAAAAAGTGATGCAAGAGTCCATCGAAATGGAAACCAAAGAACGAACAGCAGCGGAAGAAAAAAGTTCTGGTGGCGACGAAAATCTGATTGACGATTACCAAACTTCGCACGATAAGACTGAAGGTTTCGACTCTCTTACCTATACGGTTAAGTCAGGGAAAATCACGCCGAAGGAGCGAAGGAAAATGGATCGGGCCCGATTTGAGACTCGCGTTTTGGACGAATCCAGTGTTCATGTTGCGAAAGTCGACCAATCACCTGATTCTAGGGCGTCCAGTGCCAGTCCCAGTCCAACCAGAAGCAAGCTGAGCATACGCAAGAATTTCATGCAGAAAAGACTGGAAAACAAGGAACGGTATGTTTTCCCACTAAATTTATTGTGTTGAATGAATCCGCAATTCTTGCGATTTGTGTCGCATTTTGTACACACACGCGGTTCGACACTTTCAAGCTCATTTTCAAAAATTGCAAACTCCTGAAGTAAGACAAGTGAAAACTTCAATATTTGATAAAACGCGCAGAAAATGTGAAGCTTTTTAATCTCAAGAGGCTCGGCTCGGTTCGGTTTTAGACACTTTCAGCTCCATTTTTGTGTGTTCAATATGAAGTTATGCATTTTTAGGCGAGAGCGTACACTTGTGTGTAAATTTATTATTTCGGTTGCGTCTTCAAAGCTAGAAAAAAATCAATTGTACTGGAATTTGAGCGAAACCATCAACAGCTTTAGACTCAATAATTATCTTCTATACACTTCGAAAATTCCAAGTTGTTACTTGCTCTAGATTGAAAGTTCAGGTTGCTTTAAGCCAGTATGTGGAGACTATTACTATTTGGTGCGATTTGAAAGGAATTTGCAGAAGATTTAAATTAAGATGTCGTCTAGAAGTTATAAAAGTTTTAAAAAATCATACATATTTCTGTGAGTTTTCAATCCGAAGTTGTGAATTTTTAGGCGCACCTGTGTGGAAACGTTTATTATGTGTTTGACGCCTTCAAAGCTTCAAAACGTTAATTTTTAGCCCAACCGCCAAAAATCAGAACTTGTTGCGATTTAAATGTATTTTTTCAGGATTTTCAGACTAAGGTGTCTTATCAGTTGCCAAATTTGCATGTTTCTGGATGTTTTCCATAAGAAGTTAAGAATTTGTAGGCAAAAGCGTGTACTTGCGGGAAACCTCTATATTATTTGCTTGAAAATGTTCATTTTAGGCCAACTTTTATTTGGTTGCAAAAATCAGAACTTGTTGCGATTTAAATTAAATTTTTTCAAGATTTTCAGACTAAGTTGTCTTCTATCAGTTGCCAAATTTGCATGTTTATGGATGTTTTCTAGAAGAACTTAAGAATTTTTAGGCAAAAGCGTGTACTTTCGGGAAACCTCTATGTATTATTTGCTTCAAAACGTTCATTTTTAGCCCAACTTTTACTTGGTTACTAAAATTAGACCTTGTTGCAATTTAAATGTATTTTTTTCAAGATTTTCAGACTAAGTTGTCTTCTATCAGTTGCCAAATTTGCATGTTTCTGGATGTTTTCCATAAGAAGTTAAGAATTTTTAGGCAAAAGCTTGTACTTGCGGGCAGCCTCCATTATTTGACTTGAGTTTTCACAGCTGCGAAAATTTCAATTGCTGCGCGATTTTAAGGAAATTTTCCGAATTTGCAAATCCATGTGTCCTTCATACCCGCTGGAAGTTTCAAGTTGCTACTTGTTCTAGATCAGAATTTCGGACATTTTCAAGCAACGATCGTTTTGATAAAGAATTCTTTTTTATTGAGAAATAAGAGCATTTTTATTAGATAAAGCAAGACACACATATAAATCGAGTGTATTAATTCCCTTAATAGAAAAGTCATAGAAAGGCCTATAGAATGTGAAGAACACACAAACTAACGTTGCGTTCTTTCCGTTTTGGTGGCACCACCCTGTATAAACTCCAATATCCTTTCTTCTACATTTTTTCCCTTAGATTCAGAACACAAACAGTGAGCGAAAGCAGTTTCGGCTCTCCAGAGCTTTCAACCGGTTCGCCGCCATGCGAAAGCAACGACATTCACGCTCTGGTTGAGAAAGAGGCCAATCTGGTGCTGAAAAACATCCGAGACAGCAAATGCCTCCAAGACGAAATGCTGGACTTTGAGACGCTCAGCTTGCTTTCGAACGATGACGATTCAGAGCACAATTCTGGAGTTGCGGTCAACTACAACACATATCACAAAAGTTGGACTTCGAATAAGCCGGAGGTGCCCGTTGTGGCTGCTGAAACCGTCAGGCCATGCGTTGAAGAATCGTTACCGACTGCTGTTGACGTAAGTTTCCCAACTGGCAACATATGAAAATGCGAAAAACATAAATTTTCAGGAACAACCAACATGCGAAGAGCCTTCACTACCGGATGAGACTTTGATCAATTCGCCGCCGGAATCTGAAGAAGAGGAATCGAAACCGGCTAAGTCCAAAATAGTGAAACCCATAGCCACAGAAGAGCCAGAGCCTGAGGAGCAGCCCAAAGGAATCCGCGGGCGAAGGAAGATGTTGTATTCGAAGGCGAACGCGGTAAACAAAGTGGGGCCAAAGACCATCAAGCCGGCTAAAACCATGGCGGTTTCCAGTTTGGTCAAAAACGTGACCTCCACTATAAAATCAGGTGTGGACGGTTCACAGGCAGCAATTTTTACGGGGTGGACTAATGAAGTTTTTGCAGGCAACGCCATGAAGAACGTGACGACTACGCGCGCTAAATCCTCGCCCTCAATCAGGCCCCCAATGCCCAGCCAGGTGAAGTCCAGCGGTTATGGATATACGAAAAGCAGCCCCAATCGGAGTGGAGGCAACAGCCCGAAGCACTCTCCTAAAGGAACGCCGCCTTTGGAGCGCCAAGGCACTTTCACCAAAGACGAATCATCGCCCAGTAATTCGCCAAAGGCTTCATCAAGGTAAGCAAAAAGGGGGATTTAAAGCGAATGGACCAAAAAACAGCAGTGCGAAAAGAGAAAATAAATAGCCCTAACAACGATATGTTCAAACGACGCGCAAAATTCTAGTTGAATAACAGTAATGTTTACGCAACTGCACACTTCAGTAAGAAATGGCAATTTCCAAAGAAAAGCCAGTAGAAACTTGAAATATTGTAGAATGCGCTTTTTTAAATGAAATGTTGGCGTAAACTTGCAAACAAAATGAATCATATTCAAATTTCATGTGACTTTGTGACAAATCTACCAGAATTTACTTACGCACGTTGTTGTAACTGAATCGAGTTTTCAATTATTTATCCAGTGATATAAACGAGCTTTGTGGCTCAAATGGTTCTGGAGCAACGTCGAAAAAGGCGGCGTCATGTTTCAGTCGATTTCGCAATTAAAAAAAACAGGCAACACTAAAACTCTTGACTTTTAGAAACTGGAACCCATATTTGCATATCTGAAGCGGTTCTTTAGAGAAAGGCTTCCGATAAGCATAATTCAAAAATACAATGCCGCCCAAAATATTCCCAAAGTTTAAACATTAACTACGAAAGATCCAAGCCTTACGAGTCAGTTGATGAAATCTGTCCAAAGCCAAGCTTATTTGAAAGCAGCAAAGCAAAGAGAGAGAAATATAAAGAATCGATAAAACTTCAGATGCTTGCCGGAAAACTGAGTTCAAGCTAAATATTTATAGATTAGACCATTCATCCCAGCTTTCTGCAAGCTAGCGCTCCATCTTCTACCCATTAATCCTCAAGAAGTTCACAAACTACCGCACTTGCCATAAGGTATTCCTTACCTGAGAGCGCGATTCACTGTCGGTAGCAAACTAAACACCTTTTCGAGAAAACGAGACACCGAACTACAAAGTAAACATTATTATTTAATCATATAATTGTTCGCCGTTTTGATGAATCATGCTTAAAGCCCATGTCCCATGCATCCGTTAATACGATGATACGAAAGTGTTTCTATTGGTTGGAGATCTGTCAGTTCGACGCCCCTGCGAGTGAACTCAGGGTCGGTTCGTGCTCCTATAGAAATTGCACCCCAGATCATATAGGAACCACCTCCATAAGGACTCCACTCTTCAAAGCAGCAATCTGCAAATCGCTCTCTTGGTCTTCGGTACACTTTCCTTCTTCAGTGGCGCCCATGGAGACATATTCTGGTCTCATCTGAGAACAGAGCAGATCCTATTGTTCTAATGTCCAATTCAGATGATCCCCTGCAAAACGCAGGCGTGCTTCCCGATGAGCTGGAGTAAGTTTTGGACCAATTGCAGGTGTTTTAGGGCTCAGGTTATTTTCCTGCAGTCTTCGTCTTACTGTCCACTGACAAATAGCCACTCCTCGCGCCTCACGGAGCTGTCGTTGCACTTTAACGGCATTAAAGTGACGATTTCTTAATGTTGACACAATAAAGCGGTCATAAAGCGGTTGTAAATTGCCTTCTGCCTGGTCCAGGTCGCCTATGAAAGGATCCAGTCTCCTCATAACGTTTGTACACTATACGTACCGCTGCGCGTGTCATATCCAATTGTCTAGCAACAGCTCGCTAACTAAGCCCATTTTCGATTAAAGCAATAACTTGGCCGGCTTTTTGTGGTGCTATCATATCTAGTCATAAAGATACTCTCTAGGCGATAGTTCTTGATTACTTTTTGATAAATAATTCGTTATTATTGCGAGATAAGAGCACTGTTTATCAATCTGACGTGAGGAAATTCTGTCAAGACGTGAGGAAATTCTGTCTTTCTTAAAGGCCAACATTTTTGTGGCGAAATACCCAACAAACAGTTTGTGAGAAAACAAGATATTAAGGGTGGGAAGTTTTAAAATTGACACTCTGTATATATAGACTAATGCGATTATTTTCGGCAGTATGCCAACTCCTCCATCCAAAATTCCGTCTTTCGGGAGGCAAATAGCCCGAGCAGTTCCGAGCAAAACCCCCTTAAACAACAACAACATCCCCAGCGAAAAATCAAATATTCCAGCCAAGTCCCTGAGCGCCGACAGGACGAATAAAAACACACGGTTATACAACAGGTACTAAACACACCCAATTCCTATTGTGGTATTTTAACGAGCCACCCTTTCGCTTCATAGATCGACCAGTGCGGATAGTCGAGAACCTGTGAAGAAACTGCAGGCCTCTTCTTCAACTCACAGCTTGAAAAATGAGCCGAAAGCGGCGAATGGGGCTCTGGGGAAAAGATCAGGCATTCCCAGTCTGGCCCAGAGGTCGCAAAGCAATGTCAGTGTGGCTTCGAATGGATGCGCTAAGAAGCAAGTTACGAGTAAAATTGCCAGCTTATGGAAGAGGGTCGAGGAGAGCAAAGCGAGACAGTTTCCATCGCAAGGTAAGAAAGTGATAAATCAACGCTTGCTTAGTTAGGGAGATTGATTGGTGGTTAATTTAATTTGAAGATAAACGAGTGTGGATACACAGCGAAAACGAGTCAACAAAGCCATCGTTAGTGTTGGAAAGTGACATCGGTGAAACTAGCCCAAGCTTGGCCTCCCCTCATCAAGAGTAAGCTTCCATTAAACATTTCGCTATACAAATAATATAACATTGTTGTCGCCAGTCGATGATAATCTCGCGGACTATTAATTCACTGTTTCGTGTTAATTTTAAAGTTAAATTTAAGTTTAATCACTGCAGGTTAGGTATGTTTAAAAATTGTTTTAGTTCATTAAGTATGTTAGTCGCAAATTACAGGTGAGTTCGCCACGAACATGGGTTTACTGGGTGTGCAAACATACGATTCTAGTCTTCGTAAATGTAAAAACAAGACAGCTTTTTAGGGCGCCACTTTACTACCGTCGTCGTTCGATTGAACTGAATAGAAATTCGTTCAATGGTCCCGCGGGATGTATCTGAAAGTGTTCATGCTTCGCTTGAGAGGACTTTCGTTGAAAGATATCACTGATTTAGGTCGTCCAAACATTTGGAGATTGAACAGGCATAATTTAGAGCAGCGGCTACGTTATGATACGCTGAGGCAAGGAAAGGTCCTGGCAATTTTCAATAATCCAGAAAAACCGTGGGATTTCCGAGATGTTGGCGGCTCGACAATGCGCAAGCCGATTAGTCAACACTGGCGATCGATACTAAAATTCACCCTAAAAACTACTTCATATTTTATAAAGACTGTATACCAATGTAGGCGTATTTTTTCGTGATATTACAATTACCAAGTAGTTTATTATTATTATTATTCTCGTGTACATAAACTAGCGTAAAGAATGTCAAATATAAATACATAGTAATTTTATAACGTTTCAACGTACATGTTTATAAAATGTAAATGATATGTATTTGTTTTTGTTGGAGGTTATATGTACTTACTCACTTTTAGTTTCAATCAAGCAAAATAAAATAAGTTTGCTTTCCAACAGTAGACTTTTAATTACACACCGGGAACGCAATATAAACAAAACTTAATAAATATTTTTAAACTTACTTTACTGCCAACTGTCTCAGCTGCTTCAGCACGGTTTCCAGCAGCTTCTTCTTGTCGCGCTCGTTTTTGTTCAGCACCGTGAATATGTTCTTCTTGTCTCCTTCTTTCAGCCTTAAAAAGTTAAATGTTCCAATCAGACAGAATCGTCGATCCGATTTGCTTACTTTTCAAGAAGAACGATCGCAATTTCCGGGCGAACGTTCTTGTACCTGCTGGTGTCCTGAGCGTAATCGTGGAAATAAGTGGGCCAATCCCACGAAATCAGCAGGTCAAGGAGTTCGCGCAAGTTTTCAAAGTATTTCAGCAATTCATCCTCTTGCAGCCCTTTCACTGGTTCGGAGGCAGCGAATTCTACGGGGACAATTCCACGTGGAAATTGTTAGAAAATGGCACAAGCTCTTACGTTCACATTGCAATAGATCCAGATTCAGTTGATTCAATGCGCCCATGGAGATTTGCTTGATTTCCTCGTTCATCAGCATGTTGAGCATGGAATCCGCAATATGAGCGCAGGCAGTTCGACAGGCGACCAGAGCCACTTCCGGCTGGAGGCCAAAACGACTCTCATCGAAAGGAAACTGATGCCATCAAAGAACTTACCGGCAAGTCTGTGAAACTATGAAAAGTTGTCTGCAAGTAGGAGATGATATCGGATATGAAACTGGAAGCGTGCCCTCTGGGTTCGACCAAGTTCCAATCGTAGCTTTCCAGTTCCAGAAATTCGTTCAGTTTTTGCTTCAATTTCTCGCAGATTTGTCGCACAGCGTCTTCTCTGGCCACTCTGAACATTGCGTGCTGGCCGTGCATCGAACTAGAGACGATATTCCTAGTTTCTTCTCTAAAAAGATAAATTTCAAGAACATTGTCAGTTTTCTTCAGATTCGATGCATGAAGCCATGTTTGTATCTCCCAAACGCTCCCAAAGCGCAAATTTTTCCAACTGCCGTTAAGCTTATCATAGTGAAAAACCAGAGAGCAGTCCTAAACCCTTAAGGGACACCAAGTTTTTTCCATAAACACGTTTGAAAAAGATCGCCTACTTTTAACCGTTTAACTCGCCGATGCATCCAAAGGCATTCATTAATATTTTTATTTATTTAATATGAGGACTAAATAGATAAATTTGCTTCGGACAAACAAAAGCTGATCAGAAGCGCAAACTTTTTATATTATCAAACTAAATTAAACGACATTAAAAACTTGAAAATTTCCTTCTTCCTCTGCCGTTAATTTACTCACCCAGTTATATTCGATATGAATTCGTCCAGATACACATTAGCGTCTTCCAAATAGCCAGTATCGATGATGATTTGCGTAATTTTCTGCAAATTAATATGCGGACTTCTAAACGAGGAAGACAAACAGCCATTGAACGTTCGGGTTAGAAGCAGGTTCATGGATTTGCGAATCATTTCATCGACTTCGATTTGCCTACAATTCAGTCAATTCAGCTTTTTCAACTACAAACTGAACAGGCTTACGTGAGGTTTAGATCTTCGGCGAATTTCAGGCAGGCATAAATAAACTCCTTCACTTGCTGATAGACTTTGGGGACCATACTGGAGAAGGGAAATGCGTAGGGATAAACAACATCATCAGGCAGATCTACGTCGCAGGGGAACGTCTGCAATATTTGCTCGTACTCTTCTTCATCGTGCACCTGCAATTATTTAATCGGCAGTTAATGTTAAATCTTCTAAACAGGAAACTGGATATAACTGACGATTATGGGCTGAAAGTCCTCCTTGGACAGAATCTCCCTAAATATCTGCACCCAACGCTGCATGAGCACTTCAGTATAATGATCGCGAAGCTCTTGCACTAATTCCCATATCGGCTTGACGAAATAGCCATAATTGTGCAAAGTGGTACAAAACAGCATTATAAGGTCCTTGATTTTCAACATCAGGGTAGCGTCAGTACAATAGGCCTGAAAAAAACATACAAAATATACAAAAAAATAATTTAGGCTGGATGGTTAGAGGACAGCTAAAGAGTAATTCAGTTTTCATAAATCGTAATTAAACGACAATATTGTTAAGAAAAACAGCCGCAGAACCGATGGAACGGTAAAGCTCTAGATGTTATCGAGGGACAGAGCCTTAAAATGCGCCCTTTTTCATATAAAACATCATTCTAGAAATGCTTGTAATTTTCTCGCAAAATGCAAAAATCCGAAATTTATGCGTATATTGAAAACAGCTGTTAGTTTTTGGCCCATATGGAGAGAACCGATAGAGCCGCAACGCTCTAGTTATTATCGAAGGATAGAGCCTTAAAATGCGCCCTTTTTCCGTTTTCATATAAAACATCAATTTAGAAATATTTGTAGTTTTCACGCAAAATGCTAAAATCCGAAATTTCTGTTAGTTTTTGCTGTTAGAAAAATCGCTGTTAGTTTTTGGCTCATACTGAGAGAACCGCTAGACCTGCAACGCTCTAGTTATTATCGAAGGATAGAGCCTTAAAATGTGCCCTTTTTCATATAACACATCATTACAGAAATGGCTTCTAGTCTTCTCTTGCAAAAATGCAAAAAACCGAAATTACCACGGGTTTCGAACTCCGCTGCTAGTCTATGGCTCTAATTTCGAGAACCGGTTGAGGGGTAAAGTTCTGGTTTTCATCTAAGGATAGAGCCCTAAAATGCGCCCATTTCTATATAAAACATCAATGTAAAAATGTTTCTGGTTCTCACGCAACATGCAAAAATCCGTAATAACCGCGGTTAGTTTTTGACTCATATTTAGAGAACTGTTTGAGGAGAAAACCTTTAGTTGCTATCGACGGATAGAACCTTAAAATGCGCCCATTTTTATATAAAACATCAATGTAAAAAGGTTTCTGGTTCTCACGCAACATACAAAAATCCGTAATAATCGCGGTTGGTTTTTGGCTCATATTTGGAGCAACCGTTTGAGGAGTAAAGCTCTAGTTATTATCGAGGGATAGAGCCTTAAAATGCGCCCCTTTTCATATGAAAAGCAGAATTTCATCGTTATAGAAATGGTTCTAGTTTTCTCGCAAAATGCAAAAATCCGAAATTACCACGGGTTTCGAACTCCCCTGCTAGTATTTGGCTCAAATTTAGAGAACCGGTTGAGCGGGGTAAAGTTCTAGATTTCACCTTAGGATAGAGCTTTAAAAGCGCACTTTTCATATCAAACAGCAATGTAAAGATGTTGCTGGTTTTCACGCGACATACAAAAATCCGAAATTACCGCGGGTTTGAAAAACCGCTGTTAGTTTTTGGCTCATATTTAGAGAACCGTTTGAGGAGTAAAGCTCTAGTTGCTATTGAGGGATAGAGCACTAAATTGCGCTCTTTTGCACATAAAATATAATTCTAAACGTGTTGCTAGGTTTTTCGCAAAATGCCAAAATCCGAAATCGTTTCGTGTTTTGATAACCGCGGTTAGTTTTAGGCTCATATTTAGGGAACCGGTTCAGCGGTAAATCTCTAATACTGATGGAGAAATAGCAGGGTTGGCTTGATTTTTTTCAAGTGATTTCAATCATGATTTAAATCACCTGAGTTTTTTGGAAAGAAATCACGATTCAAATCAAAGTTCATTTTGTCAAGAAACTTTATATTTCCACTCAAAAAATATAAAACAGAACACAAATAATTCTAAGAAATGAAAATCCAAATAGAAAACGGTACATGTGAAGTTAAAAATTAAACGGTATTAATGGTAAACTCAATAATACTGAAACCGGAAATCACTTCTCTTTCTCTTCATTTTCGTTATAAAGTCTGAAGAGGAACACTAATTTCCCTCCTTTTTCGATTCCCAATCTGTTCCTGATATCCGAATGTGCTGAACATCCTTTCGACAGACGCAGAAGATGCAGTTGCACAAAGAAACTGTTTTATAGTGGACAAGTGTTTTCCAATTTCCGGGTCATCTCTCTGTGATAGCCACCACTGAAGTCCGTTCATATTTTTTTGCACCTCATCAGAAAACATAATTTATTTGAAAGGACTGCAGCGAGCGTTGAATTTAATAACTAGTGGGAACAATCCCGAGATTCCATGAAGCTCACTGATTCTTCTCTACAGGAGTTAAAGCGTAGTTTTGTTTCTCCGGGCTTAACATGTGAGCAATAAAGTGATAAGGTGTAAGAGCTTGCTTACAGCGATGTTGAAACTTCTGTACTTTCTGTAAGGAGAAATTTTGAGATTCTTCAAACTTATCTTGCAAAAGTTTCCACTGCTCTACGGCATCAGATATTGTGGCATTTTTCTTCTAGAGTATATCTAGAGCAACAGCAATAGGCTTCAGAAGGCTCAAGTACTCTTGCGCTGCATGCTTCAGTCCTATGTTTGATACTTTATATATATATTTTTTTACTCTTACTTTTTTTTACCTCTATGTCTTTGTACTATGCCTTGAACCTCTTTCTTACACTGTTTGCAAGTTGCTCTGCATCCTGACTTATTAGAAGAGGTGGTTTTGATGTGAAACTGCCAAATACTGTCTTCTTTTCTTCCAGCCATTGCGTTCTTTTCAAACTGACTTATTATTATTACACAAACACAAAAATCTACACTTTTCAACATTAGCCTATCTTGAAATTTTGTGAGGAAATAAATAAGACCGAAGAAAGGCGACGGCATTTATAGAGTACGCCGGGCAACGTGCGAAAACGGTTCAACTTAGCTTGAATCTTCTCGGCAACAATTGTAATGACTTTAAAACAGCTAATTAAGCGGATTTATCAATTGATTTAAAAAAAAATAAAAAAAATCATGATTTTTTTGATTAAGTTAAATAAAACGGTGATTTTTTATTTTTTTAATAAAAATAAATTTTTGCCCAACACTGAGGAATAGAGCCTTCAAATGAGCCCTTTTTCATATAAAACATAATTTTAGAAATATTTCTAGTGTATGCAAAATGAAGGAAGGCAAGATTAATGCATATTCTTAAAACCGCTGTTAGCCTTTGGGTGATATTTAGAGAAGCAGTCGAGCTGCAAAGCTGTAATTCTCGCATAAAATAAAGTGCGCACTTTTTATGCATAAAATAATTTCAGGCACATTTCTAACTTTCGAGCAAAATGACGAAATTCAAATTAAAGCGGGTCTTAAAACAGGCATGAAGCCGTTGGCTCAAATTAATTAATAATATTGTACCGTGGATGGCCGAGTATTAAACTCTTTTTTCAGCTTACAACTTTTATTCCACTCGATACAACTTTAACTACGGAACAGGAACAAACTAACTTCTAAAGTTAATGTCAACTTCACAAACGATAACAATAACACACGGAAAACACGCGTTTCCGACTCGCGGGTTTAACTTCTTCTGCACTTGGTCGCTCCTGTCACTTCACTT